AATTTTTTGGATGGGGGGTGGTAGCATTTATACCCTTTTTGAGTGGGTGAGTAACCAACAAAGACACACTTTAAGGCTCTAGGATCAAGTTTTCCCTGTCTCGTACTATGAATATGGACATATGAGATACACCCCAAAACTCTTGGTTTAAGATTATTTGTAGTAGACAAGTTTGGATAGAAAGACGACAAAACTTCCATAGGGCTTTTTGATCCTAAGACTCTAGAGGGTAGTCTATTGATAAGGTATGTTGCTGTAAGGACAGCTTCCCCCCAGAAATTTTTTGGGACACTTTTTTGGAACAACAATGCCCGAGTCTGATTTAATAGATGTCCATTTTTTCTCTCTGCGACCCCATTCCGTTGTAGTGTTTTGACACAAGAGGACTCATGAATTATACCTTCTTTTTGACAAAAAGAATTAAGGACATGATTGAAGTAATCTTTGGCATTATCCGACCTAAGCCTCTTAATATTAACACCAAACTGATTTTTTATCATGGAGTGGAAGTTTAGGAAGACAGAACTGACTTCTGATTTTTGTTTAAGTAGGAAAACCCAAGTGACCCTTGTACAGTCATCTATAAAGGTGACAAACCATCGAGTACCAGACACATTTGGAATATTAGAAGGTCCCCATACATCGGTATGAACAAGATAAAAAGGGAAATTGTTAATTTTATTACTTATTGGAAAAGATATACGTTTGTGCTTAGCAAGTTCACACACCTCACAATGAAGACTCTCAACATCTAACTTGGTAAACAGAGAGGGAAATATAATTTTGATCACTCCAAAAGAGGGATGTCCCAACCGACAATGATAAAGCATGATTTTTCTCTCGTTGGTCATCAAGGATTCAGATATGAAGGAGTGAGAGATTCTATTCTTGCTTGGGTAGACTTGGATCTTCGAGATAATAAAGGCCATTCCATTCTCTAGCATGTCCAATCATCCTCCCCGAATCCTTATCCCGAAATACACAATGATCGTTGGAAAAAACAACTTTACATGACAAATCCTTTATAAGTTTTTGTATAGACACTAGGTTCGTGGACAACTTTGGGACATGGAGAACGTCTTTTAAGGTTATTAAAGGATTGATTTGGATATTTCCTTGACCAGTCTGCAGTTATAAGGGTTCCATCTCGCTGTGGTAATTTTCTTGTTGCTTGGGACATGGGGAATATGTGGAGAAGTGTTTGGCTAATGGTGTCATGTGATCTGTGGCTCCGAGTCCAATATCCAATAATGGTTAAAAGGCGTATCCGAGACATTTAATCCAAAAGAAGGTGGAAACTTACCCGAGTATGCCAAAGAACACATACCTGTAGGTTTTTCCAGTTTACTAAGAATGGTTTTCACCCTTTCTATCTCCTCTTCCCTTGACATTATAGCAAAAAGGTGCGATGCAACAACAATGCAGGCTGTCGTCTTAGGATTAAGAAAAATGCAGCGAGCAATGTAGGCTACCGTCTTAGGGTTAAGAAAAATGCAGCGAGCAATGCGAGCTGCCGTCTTAGGGTTACAAAATATGCAAGCAGCAATGCAGGCTGCCGTCTTAGGGTTTATCAAGCGCGAGACAGAGCTTCCTAGATCGGAAGCTCCGATACCATCTGAGAAAAATAGATTAAGCTGAAATATGATTTTATTATTTCAATACAAAGAGATGATATAAGATATATACAAGAGACCTAAACTATTTTAGGAAATATAATAACTCTATTTTATGCTAGGATCCCTTGATTTATGGGATTGTTCCTAATTATTCAAATCTGTACAGATTACAAGGAAATATACAAATTTCCTTATTTATTCTTTCCTAAAATACTATTTGATTTCTCACAGTAACTAAGAAAATTGTAAATGGGATGTGGATTACGAGTAGAGCGAGTACCTTTGCGAATGGCAATGGGCCAACTTGAGTCATCATTATCAGGAATCGTGGTATCAGGGGATGATTGAGAAGGATCTGCTGAGGAAGACTCATCTTGGGACATGGGACTGATCATTTGGCTCCTGTGTTAATAGGTAATAAGAGGCAGTGATGAGGATTCCGATGTATTTTGTGTGGAATTTTGGGTGTCAGGAGGAGGAGGTACAAATGGCTACACTAAGGGTATAGGTAGGACATTTTGGACCGAACTAATATCCTGCATAGAAGAAGGGAAGAAGGGAGTTGACTAAAAAAAAGTGACATTAGCAGACATGTAGTACCTCTTGGTTTCAGGAGAATAACATCGATATCCTTTTTGAAGACGAGAATATCCCAAGAAGACACATTTGATGGCTCTAGCTGATAGTTTATCTAAACCTGGAGACATATCATGAACAAAACATACACAACCAAATACACGAGGAGAAACATGAAAGAGTGGGTCCTTTGGCAATAGAATAGAGTGTGGAACTTTATTGTTAAGAGAAGAAGATGGCATTTTGTTAATGAGAAAACATGCAGTAAGAATAGCATCTCCCCAATGATGAACGGGCATATTTCCACCAAGTAATAAGGTACGAGCAGTTTCAACCAAATGTCTATTTTTTCGTTCTGCTATACCATTTTGTTGTGGTGTGTGAGGACAAGTAGACTGGTGTAAAATGCCTTGGGAGCTTAAGAGAGTGGAGAAATCAATAGAAAAGTATTCTTTAGCATTATCACTTCGTAAAACTTTGATTACTTTTCCAAATTGATTTTTGATTTCGTTAAGGAAAGACTTAAAGATAGGTAATAATTCAGAACGGTCTTTCATTAGATAAATCCAAGTACACCTAGAAAACTCATCAATGAAGGTAACAAAATATCTATAGCCAAAGGATGAGACACGACTAGGACCCCAAATATCGGAATGAACAAGAGAAAAGACAGAGTCACATCTAGATTCGAACGTTTAGGAAAAGAGGACCTAGTATGTTTCCCTAGTTGACATGATTCACATTCAAAATCTTGAAGAGTCCGAAGTTCGGGAACCATTTTTTTAATCTTGATAAGTGAGGGTGCCCTAACCGTTCGTGTAATAGTTTTGGAGACAAGGATGCAACACAAGATACAGATGATTTAGTCCCAAGGTAGTATAAGCCTCCAGATTCATGTCCTTCGCCAATCTGTCAACCCGTACCACGTTCCTGTATAACAAAAGAGTTGGCATTAAAGGTTACTGAACAATTCAATAATTTGGTTAATTGACTTAGAGAAATAAGACTGAAGGGACATGAAGGAACAAAAAGAACAGATTTTAAGTTTAAAGACGGAGAAATGGAGACTTGACCAGTTCCTTTAGAGGCTACTTTAGATCCGTTGGCTAAGGTTATGAGATGAGGAGTTTTAGGAAATGAGAGAGAAGAGAACAAAGAGGCATTACCGGACATGTGATCGAAGCACCCGAGTCAATAATCCATGGATTTTGACTTTCCACAGATTGTGAAATGCAAGCTGTTGATGAATTTGGGGTTGTTTATGACTCGTGCTAGATTACTTGGATTTCAATCTCAAATATTCTCGATATTCTTCGTGAGAGAACTTGGGTTCAACCATTCCGATTTGGAAAAATTGACAGCTTTATCAGGAAAACCGTGCAAAGAGTAGCAATTTTCCACTGTATGACCCATTCTCTTGCAATGAGTGCACTGAGGACGTCCTCTACCTCCACGTCCTCCTCTAGTGTCGCGACTTCCTCTTCCACGGGTAGAAATCATAGCAGAAGATTCAACAAGTTCTTGATTATTTTTTCCTTTGAGAGTTGGAACACGAAGCAGTCTTGTAGTCAAACTTTCCATAGAAGAAACTTCTTGTCCAGTTAAAATTTGATCTCTAACATGATCAAATTCTGAATTCATAGCTCGGAGAGTCATAACCATATAGAATTTATCCAACTTTTGCTTTATCTCCTCTAACGAATCCACCTCTAGGAACATCTTTAATTCTTCAACTGCTGATTGAGCTTCAGCAATAAAGGTCATCATATCTTTATCCACTTGCTTGAGAGAGGCTAATCGATTAGCGGAATCATAGAGGCGTTGGATATCATTTGCGAAGATATTTTGAGCTTTTTTCCAGAAAGAGTTACATGTTTTGAAGGATCTGAGAGTGTTCAAAATATTTGGTTCTACTGATTGCCACAGTAGAGCACAGAGTTGATAATCAAGCTTTTTCCATTGTTGAGCCTGATCTTCTAGTATCTTACTTCCGTCTTCTTCTAGATGATCGTGAAACCCTTGTCCAAGGAACCAAAGTTCCACTGAAGAGGACCAAGACATGTAATTTTTTCCATTTAATTTCTCAGCCGTTATCGTGGGAGTTCCGGAAAAGGAGGTTGTGGGCCCTGACGACATGTTTTAAATAATGTAGATGTAAGATGGAGACAATGGAACCTGTAAGAAAGAGAACACCCAAGATAGCCTGAAGGTTACTGGAAGGTGGTCGGAAAAGTCGTCGAACGACAGCAAAAAAAGGTGACTGGACGGGGGACTGACGGTTGCCGAAAAGTGACCGGGAAGTGGCCGGAAAATGGTCGGACGGTGGCCGGGGAAATGGTCGGACGGTGGCGGGAAAATGGTCGGACGGTGACCGGAAAATGGCCGGACGGTGACCGGAAAATGGCTAGACGGTGGCCAGAAAATGACTGGGACGGTGGCCGGAAAATGGTCGGCCGGTGACCGGAAATGGCCGGCCGGTGACAGGAAATGGTCGGACGGTGGCCGGATGGTAGCCGGATGGTGGCCGGACGGTGGCCGGACAGGCAGAGCAAGACCAACCTACTCTGATACCAAGTTAAGAGAGTAAAGAGAATGAAAAGAAGATTTCTAATTTTGTGGGATGCTTACTCCGCTCTATGATCTCATATATATATATAGGATTACAACATTTAAAACAACAACCACTAACTACTAACAACCACCAAACACCAACTACTAACTACTAACCACTAACCACTAACCACTAACCACTAACCACTAACCACTAACTAATAATAATTCTAACATTCTGTAATTGCGAAACAGTTATCAAAATCTTCCATTACATCCTACACTGAAATTGAAGCAATAAAAGACAAAGACTGTTACACTATATAAGAAAATGAGTACAAGGGCATACCTGAGCTTAATCTTCTGTTTAGGTCAGAAACACTTTCCTCAGATACAAGTAAGAACTGTGCTTCATTGGCAAAATTAAGTTTGTTCTTCATATCTCTACATTTGGCTGCACCTTTGATCTTATTCAACATAAAATCTTGATCGAAACTATAATACCTTAACAAAGAGCAAGCTCTACCAATGGCATCGCTAAACCATTCATTGATCTCATTGTCATAACTATATACCTTGTACCTATGAAAAAAGAAATAAAAAATACCAGGCATAAGAGACCAAAATAAAACTGTCAGTGTAAAACAATTTACTAACTTCTTCAAGCTTACAATAGAATATCTTTAGCAAGTACAACACAAAGAATTAAGATTCATGCGATACCTTCATTTTCAATTAATGGAAACCAGTGTCTGTACCAAAGTAATGAAATCACCGATAAGATACATAAGAATATTCAAGAGTGTGAAAGGAAATGTCTCCCAACACTCTTCAGATGGTCAAGAAGCATCTTGAGCAAATTATAACAGACGAAGTTTTGTTTATGAAAGATTGGCCAATCAAATTACTTTATACTTGACAAATGCAATTATGCCGTGATAACCAAGTGGGTCTTCCCATATCTTCTCTCTAGTGTTCTATGAAAGAATTAAACATATCTTCCCAACTAGAAGATAAAATGCCTATTGGAATTTGTAGTAATTAATTTGCCAACAATTTTATTTGTAGTAACATCTTCACAAAAATTGTAAGAAATAAAGAATTCAATGTGTTCCAAGCTTAGGCCATTTGTACTCCAACTAGAGGGAGTGTATTCAATAATATAGTATTTAAACGCCTATTCAAATTACTAACAACTAATTTTCAAAATCAAATACATAGCTATCTTTTATACTTGGAATATATTGTCCATGTATTTAGGAACTAGAACCATAATTTTCCTCCGTGTAAACATAAAATCGTAATCAATTCCAAATTGTATATAATACTAAATCAGATGAGTAACTTATAATCAGAAAATTTTTATTCTTCACAAGCTCTAAAACTTTCTATAGCATAATGATATGTGCAAAAGCATGTTCATCGATGTCTTTGCAAGAGTCTAATTTAATTACTATCATTGAGTATTAATTATGTATATAAGATCGTATACCTCTGACCATATAATTCAATCTCCTCTATAGCATCCTCATAAACATCTGACTCAAGTGAAATTTGCAATCTTTCTTTGCAACGTGTAGATTCTACAAACAAAATTCCTTGACTAAGGTCTATAAAGGTGCTTATAAAGCCCATTTCAGGAACCTACAAAATTAGGATCGAACAAATCAAAACTTCACACTTAAACATCATCCTCAAAAGTGAAAATTTGGTAAACATGCAACACAACTTAGTGTGAAAGATAGATAGAGTTCGGTAGAATCATATCATTAAAGACTTGTGAAGGTAGCAACAGTAGGAATGTTAGCTTAGTAGCTGAATCCATAGTAGCTTCATACAAGCATGACAGAATAAGTATTAACAAGTGTATAAACCATAAAAGCATGGATCACAAAGCAAATTTGATGAATCAATGTATAAAAACTCCAGATTCACAGTGTATATCCTCCTTGTGCTTGGCAATTTTCCCAAGGCAAGGAATGGGTAGATCCTCCTCCCATTTTAAACTTTTTATTACCAAAAAGGAAAATCTATACTAAAAAAAAAAACTAAATTGATTGAAAGTTATGAATCACAGATGTTTAACATTTAAGGTTTTCTAAGTGGATTTGGGCCTAGTCCCCTTACTTGCTTGTATGACTCTTAATTGTTTTTATAGTACTTGGGGAGCTGCAAATGATTGTTGTTATTTGGGATGCAAACATAGTTGAGATGCCAAATAACATAGAGTGATGCTTTAGCGTTTCCATCTTTTGATAAAAAAACGCACCACTATGTTTATAGGCAATGTTTAACAACATTGTGTAGAGAAAAAAAAGAAACACATTTAGGAATTGACAAAGTATGTATTTGGAATTTTGAGGAATACAACAATGTATATGCTTGATCATGCAATTGAAACAACACAAATTTGAAAAGGGCTTATTTCTTTTCTTGGGGGATGGATGTCCTTAACGAGTTTGGTTTCCCAGAATTTCTAAACTTATCTTTGTTCTATGAATTTGTGAGGACAAAAAAACACAGGATTATGGAGGACCTACTTTGGTCAGGTGAATCAAAGACAAGAAGACATCAGATGTATCATCATGGAAGATGGTAGGTTTGTTATCATCACCAAAAGAGGATTTGGGTCTTGTTCATTTAGTTTCAATGAACATTGTTTTAGCACGCATGAATCAATATTATGGAAGTTCCTTAAACACTTTTGTGAATATTGGATTGTGTCCCTATTAGGAGTTCAAATATATACTACTGTGTTTCTGTTGGTGGTACTGGTAAACTGATTTCTAAAAGAAAAACATGGAATAAGACCTGTACTCAAACTACTTGAGACTTGAAATGGTCAAAACAATTACTTGATGAAATTGGTTTCAATAGTGCAAGGGCAACGCCATTGTAGTTTGAGAACAAAGCAACCTTTTGAACTGTCTCTTATCCAGTAGTCCATTAGAGAATAGAGCAGACTGAGTTGGCCAGAATTTTGATTCAGGAAATACTCCAACAAAAACCTTATTCCCACATTTCACGCAAGGAATGGACGGCAGCTGATATGACATCTTCACTGAAGCTTAGTTGTAACCAGGTAAATTATAAATGCATCAGGATTTTAAATTTATATAAATTGCACTTGTCTTTGGTCAACATATACTTGGGGAAAAATCAGTTCACCCAATATACAATCCTCTGTCCTCAGTACAATGGCCGTCCTAGACATTTTGGGTAGTGGGAGCACAAGGGCACACACATGAGATAACAGTACTCTAGTTCAATCCCTCTTAGAAGGGAATAAAGGACCACAATGGCAGATTACAAGAAGAAAGGAAATCTCAAAAAACTAGATTGATTTATCAAGTTACAGTATACTTAATACTAGCCTAATAAATATTTAAAGTAATAAAATCAAATACTTCATTATTTTTGTGAATTCCAAAAAATACTACTAAATATTTTTCTCTGTGTACATAATCATATCAAACATTCACTTCTTCATTCATCTGCCATATACTTAAGAGTCTCAATTTTAAAGGTTTCCGAAGTTAAATATCTAATAATCAACCCTTCATTTTGGTTCTTTTTAATACATTGTTGCATGGAATAAACTAAATCCCATGAGAAAAGAGTATTACTGTTGTGAATTCACCTAGACTTATCTATTTTCATAAATTCAACCAAACTAAAACAGACAAAAAGAAAAGATGCAGTTCCTAAAATGTGCACCCTGTATACACATATGATCTAAATTTTAGAGCTTGTTTGCCATACAGTAGAGTACCTTCTTCTGTGTAAGTATTTCACCAGTTAGGCTTTTAAGAATCCACTGGCGATCATGTGTCAGGCCTGCACAAAATTTAAAGAAGACATTGTCATCAAAATCTAACGAATTGTAGAAAATAGAATGACTAGTTCAATGGTTGAAAAAATTAAATCAGAAACTATTAAAGTAGTTTTACTCCATAAGTCAATGTATTATCTGTTTTCTATTTAATCTGTTACTATCTCGAGTATAGTATGTCGGTGTTGCTAATTAAATTATAATATTGTGAATCTTATTGCAATAAATTTAGTTTTTAGGCATCACTAAGGGGAACAAAATACCCTCTTATCATGTGTAATTAATGCAACAAGCCTATATATTCATCCATCCATGGTGTATTTTAACAGTTAGCAACAAAATCAATTGCTCCTCCCCTGGCTTCAATCTACCATTTCTCAATCTATGCTAAAAAAAGTAATAGGTGACCGAGAAACTACGGGACAAAATCCACAATTATTTTCACACTCACACCAATGTGAAGGCTAGGCAACTTCTTACAAAACTGTATCAAATATCTATCAATCCTGGTTAAAGTCTTGATCAAAGTCCTCCTGGGCCATCATCTCCACCTATTCATACCTCCCAGACAGATAGTCCCGTTTTCCAAAAACATGGTGAATCCCCTACTTCAGATACTTCTCCCTCGTCCCTTGATACCACGACTCCTAGTAAAGGTGATTCAGATTGGCCCATTGCTCTCAGAAAAGGTACTTGTTCCACCCGAAATCCATATCCCATTTATAATTGTCTTAGCTATCACAGATTATTACCTTCCTATTGTTCCCTTGCTATTGTTCCCTTTTATCTTCAGTATCTTCTGTTGTTATTCCCAAGAATGTGAATGAAACACTTGACCATCCTAGATGGCGACAAGCCAGAGATGCAGACTCTTGAACACAGTCATACTTGGAAGCTCGTGCCCCTCCCACTGGGTAAGAAGGTTGTTGGTTGCCAATGGGTGTATGTAGTTAAAGTTGGTCCTGATGGTCAAGTTGATCGACTCAAAGCTCGATTGGTTGCACAAGGATACACTCAGGTTTATGGTCTTGATTATTATGACACTTTCTCTCCTGTGGCCAAGATGACTACTATTCGTCTCTTCTTTGCCATGGCAGCCATTCGTCATTGGCCACTTCATCAATTGGATATAAAAAATGTCTTCCTCCATGGTGATCTTGAGGAAGAGGTTTACATGGAGCAACCTCCTAGGTTCGTTGCTCAGGGGAAGTCTGGTATAGTATGCAAATTGCATCGTTCTCTATATGGCCTCAAGCAATCACCACGTGCTTGGTTTGGAAAATTCAGCTCCATTATTCAAAATTTTGGGCTAAGACGTAGTGAAGGAGACCATTATGTCTTTTACTCTCATACATCTCTCGGGAAATGTGTTTACATATAATAGTATATGTTGATGATATAGTCATTACAGGAAATGACACTGTTGAAATATCTCAACTAAAGGAGTACTTATGTAGACATTTTCAAACCAAGGATCTTGGAAGCCTCAAATACTTCCTGGTCATTGAAGTAGCTCAGTCAAAAGATAAAATTGTAATCTCTCAAAGGAAGTATGCTTTTGATATATTACAAGAAACAAGCATGATTGACTGTAGACCAGTAGACAGTCCTATAGACCCAAATCAGAAGCTAACGACAGAAGAAGGTGAATTATTCTCTGGTCCAGAGAGATATAGGCGGCTTGTTGGAAAGCTAATTTATCTTACTATTACGAGGCCTGGTCTATCTTTTGCAGTTGGAGTGGTTAGTCAGTTTATGCAGACTCCATATCTTGGACATTGGAATGCCATCATCCGTATTTTAAGGTACCTCAAGAAGGCTCCTGGACAGGGTTTACTATATGGAGATAACAATCCTTATACCATTTGAAAATTCATTGAAAATAGTAGATTTTCCTGTAGTATAAAATGAAGTATGATCCACAATAGATGCAGAAGGAGAGATATCAGAAGAAGCTATGGAGGAAGAGAGAAAAACCCTAAAAAAATCAAAGAGGTCTGATCAGATCAACAAGGCCAGATCTAGAAAGAGGGAGATGGCGAGTCCAGTGACGACGATGGCAATTGGACAAGGCCTGTCATGCGCTGCCACATGCGGCGAAAAGTGGTTGCTATACGAAAACTTCGAACGACGCATGGAGACTCCGATAGTGGCAATCTCAATGGCATGGTGGTCACCTGACCGAGATGAGCAAAACGGTGTGGTCGTCAGTATGACTCTAACTCTGGCGGCAGGTGTAGGGACAATGATGACGAACAAAAAATAGAGAACCTAAGTTCTTGATACCGTTTGAATATGGTGAAAAGAAGGTATAGGGTTAATCTCTCTTGTATGTAAAATAAACATAGGATAATATATTTATAATGAAGAGTAATAATACACAAAAATATGGAAAATACACATAAATATGGTAATTATAAGATATTGTTAGATATTGTGATTAATAATATCTAATAATATCTTACAATATCTAACAAATAAGCTTAATGCCCTGAATGTCCCACAATTGGAGTTATTGAAAGAATTGTCATAGCCATGAAATTTCACTTAGTTCATGTTGGATCTCAACACCCCTCTTCTAATTGATTTTCGGCTTTAGCACTAGACTTGACAACTTTATTTTGTGTCTTGCTCTTCCATGAGTGATTAAATTACCTCCAAATAGAACACAATAGACTGAAGTAGACCATTGATCTAGTGGTGATCTTGCCCATTCTACGTTAGGGTAACAAACAATATTAGAATTGCCTTATGTTTCCATATAAAAGTATGTGACCTAGTACATTCTTGATATAACGACGATGCCCATGATAGCATTTCAATGACTATCATAAGGGACATTGAGGAATTGACTTACTACATATAAATCCCTATGTATTTGCTAAATATTTATAATCATATGTACTACGATAATTAAGGTAACAAAATACAATAAACTCGTTACATATTTGTTAAATATATCTTATAAATCTATTTGCATTTCAACCTAATCAAATCATATCTTTAACAATATTCAACCCCAATTAGTCAATCAAAATTAGTATCAAGCTTACCAACAATCACATCCCAACTACAATCTGTCTAACCCAAATTTTAATAGAGGCGGTGGTGATTGTGGTAGCCACTTTTATAGAGATGTTGGTTGTAATGGTTGAGGAGGTTGTGTTGCTCTTCAATATCACATTTGATTTAGATGTGCGTATAAAATCAGGAAAAGATTACCATTGTTGCTAAGAGGCCAACTTCTTGCACTGAAACCCCCACATGATTTTATTGGATATATTGTAATTGATTTGAGATAATAACTAGTATCCACAAAACCGTTCTCTAAACCTGCAGGCAATCAACTGAGTAAATGTCCATCTAAAACCATTAAAACAGAATTATACATTGTTTTCAGTTAGACCAAACAGTGAAAATAATGTGCTACACAGCTTTAACAACAGGATTTTAACATAATCCTGGATTATTTGTGACAACAGCAATACAATAATTGAGAAGTTAATTGATGATTAAAACAGATACAAATAAAATTTTGAATTTGACATATCTACACATTGAAATTTTGCAAGGAAGCTTATTGTCTCCTTTAGTATCTCTGTCGATCTTGAATGCAAATAGAAGAAGGATTTTAATATACAAAAGAATCCACAGTCTTTCCCCAATAGATGGGGTAAGCCACATGAATCAAATGACACCATTATATCTATCCATAACTAATTCTTCAACAAGGCCACTTAATTCTGGAACTCCTTTAGATGGTTTTCCTTATTTCACATACTTCCTCTTCCTCTACTTCTAGTTATCTGTCCATTTTTAGTATGATATCAAAGTCTATCTAGTTTTAATGTCAGGCCACTCACATGTCTAGTCCTGTAACCATTACACTCCAAACCAGATGTCCATTCTTGTAGGGGGTCTTAAGATACCCCTTATTAGCTAGAAATATGACAAAGATATTAGTTATAACGGCTTGAACCAGGCACACCCCCTCTTTGAATTATCTTTTTAGATTGAGTTAGACCTAGTCCATTTCTAAAAGGCTGCATCAAGTATTGTGCATGCAAAAAAGAGTTGGTTTACAAGCTGCAGGATCCAAAATCAGTCTTACAAACAGATGGCCCTAATTTCCAACACCATCTGACTTGTTTCTTGCATGAAACAGTCAACCTGTCCAGACGTTGGTAACAGACTGGGAAGGTGTTAGGAATTGAAAAGTATATGTTAGGATGAAAAAATTAAATAATAACTAACTTACAGTTAGTTATGGGTGGCAGAGCATAGTTTTTAAATAAGACTATATATAGCTGTTTGGGGGGTGAGAGAGGGAATTTTTTGGGAAGTTAGTTCATTAACAGGATCATTACATCCTGTGAGGGGAAGTTGTTGATTGTAATCAGAGTATTGTTCATGTTAAAAGTAATAATAAAAGTACTTGGGAGTATTGTTTCCTGTGTGTGTAAAAGGAGAGACGTGAGTTTGCGTGGAACCTTAGGTTTTTTCTGTCACAGAACCTAACAGAAGTGGTGGTTGATTTCTTGTTATTTGGCTTCCTTAGTTTTATGTATAACAGGGTGGTTTTCCATATGTGTGACATTCTAATAATGACCTGGGCCTGTTTGTTGGAACATTCATCTAATTGGAGCCACCTGGCTTTTCTTCCTTCTAACCGTTTGCTTCCTTTCAATGGTTCCTTCTTTTGGTTGTCTTCCGTGCCTCTGTTTGTAGTGGTTGTCTTTGACACTTGTAACTGTCTCCTATTTTCAGTGGATTCGACAGCAGAAATGTTGGACAGAAGATAAATAAAGTTCATGGAATCACAAAGACCAATGTTGTCCCCAACCAAAAGATTGAGATGACTACTACCCATACGGAAAATAAAAAGGCAACCAATACACGAGGGTCCCACCAAGTGAGGTTTGGGGAGGGTAGATGTATGCAGCCTTACCCCCACTAGCAGAGAGGTTATTTCCAGGATTTGAGCCCATGACCTCCAAGCACAAGGCAACAATTTACCATTGTGCCAAGCCTTGCCCTCGCATAAAAGAAAAATAAACAACAGCATAAAATCTTTGATATCAGTTAAACAGACATCCTAAAGAAATTATTTGAAGAACACATAAATATTTGCTAGTAAGAATCTCTTGTTGAAAATTATGAAGCAAGCTTACTAAGTAGCTGCATAAATGTATGCAATATATTCATGCATAAATATATTAGTAGCTTTTCATGTGGGAAGGAGAGGAGAAAAGATTCAAATGCAATAAAAGTCCTTGTCATTTAAACAGATATAACCACCAAGACGTGAATTCATCCACTACAAAGAATAATAAATAAAGTTGGCAAAGGAGGCGGACCTTTCATTTGATTTCCATGGTCAATATGATTTTGAGGTGACACAAAGGAACGTGCAACAAAATCAACAAATTTCTGAAACTCAGAAGATAGAAAATATAACAAAATTAGTTTTGTTAAATGGGTAGCTGAAATCTTGAGAAATTAACTTAATCCAACATTAACGCACTAAGCTAGAATGCAAGCAGAATTAGAAATTCATAATAACATAGTCTATGATTTGCTATTTAAACTCAAAATGTTGCCTCATTTTCCGTATTAAGAAAGTATAGGTTTGGCACTCATGAATAAAATAAAAAATGAACCAGAACCAGAACCAGATGAGCTTTAATGGTTCCAAATGTTTAACAAAAATGCAAAATGGTCTAAAGATTCCCAACCTTGGCATCCTCATATGTTGACATGTAGCCAAAGGATACTCTTACAGCTCCAACAGGTTTACCATTGATTATATCATGATCATCCCAACAAATGTGGCCAGCCTAAATACAAAATTATCATGATATTTGATGTTATACAATATACACTCATAACATTGATAAAAGTAATATTTTTGGCTGTTAGTAAGTAAAAGCAGACGTAGAAATACCTCAGTATTTGAAATAAGATCAAAATGAGACAAGCCAAGGTATTTTGCACACGCACCTGGATTGCAGAAGCATCCTGTCTAAACAGATAGCAAGTGAAGATAAATAATCAGAATTCAATCAATAACCCTAATGTAAAAGCATCCCAAAAGTACAAATAAAAAATTATTTACTACAATGATTACGTGAACTTACAAAAAGAAAATATTAACATGAAGAAAACTGTAATTTATACCCTTAACTGGATTCCTGAAAGTGATGCCAGCTTTTCCACTTCACGGTATCCATACCAAGAACCATCTGGTCGTTTCAAGTTGAATGAAATTACTGGTCCCATTTCATGATGCAGTTTCTGGGTGAAAATAAAAAAGTATTGACTAGTTCCATGTTACTTAAGATGGATGTAGAGAATAAATGAAATCACTGGTGTGAGCTGCTGCTTATATATTCATTGTGTGTCTGAAGGCAATGGATACATTTTTATTTACAAAATAATAACAAAAGTATTACCATTTCCTATGTTGTACTAACTATCAAACGAAAAGGTATATCAAATAATATTATGCAGCAAGGGGAAAAAACACCTCAATGTTCAACGGGAAGAACTTGTAGAGGAGGCTACATGGGAAGATGCTTGAGAGATTCACAACAAGTTTCCAGAATTTTTAGACCTCAACCTTGAGAGAAATGCACAATCAAGGAACAAACATAGGTGCGCCTAAAATCTGACTTGTGTATGAGAGGAAGGGCAAAAAAGGAAAAGAAGAAATGGAAATGCTGAGTTGTTATTCAGTTATTAAATTAGGAGTGAATACACATGGGATGGGGAATGTGAGAGTGGTGCGAGTGGGGAGTAACCAGTCAGGAAAGTTTCTGATAATGGGCACCAGAGATTGTGCGTTATATGACAAGAGCCAAGATTTGGGATTACAGAGGTTTCGCTTCTTCAATAGTTCTAGATTTCCACTTACAATAATATTTTCATGAAATTGATTCTTATCACCATTGAGAGGATTACTTGTAATTGTGTGTCTTGTATACAGATTGATACTCTTATTTATGATGAAGGAGATATACAGCAATAAGGAACAAGTTCAATAACTAATTATGAGAAATAAGAGAGGGTCATCATCATACAGCCGATTCTCTGTAAAGCCTTATCTCCTACCCAATTTCTCGCTCTAAGGTGCAAGCTCAGAGTGGCTATCAGTTGATCCTTCCCCCCTCATGTGCTTGAGGAGAGTATTAGAACAGAGGTGAACTATAAAAACTCATTAGTGCTCTGTTAGGATTCTGTTGTAGAGTGACAACTTTAATTTTTAATTGACTCTCCATTAAAGTTATGTCCCAAAAATCAGGTTAGGAAAAAAAAAAATTAAGGCCTAATGAACTAGGTCATTTTGGCTCATTTAGCTTGTGACTAAAATAGGTTTAGGGTCCATGTTATAAATAAAAATTATATTTTAAAAATAGTATTATTTTATTAAAATATATATTAATTATAATTTAAATATCAAATCATTATATCTAAAATTAAAATTATTTTCATTAAATAACTTCAATTTAAAAATATATTTTTTTTTATTTAATTTTATATTTTTCTTTTTTTGAAACAAGTCAAAATGGTACCTTAGCTTGACATAGGGCCAAGCCTAGCATAGAAACATAGCCTATTTCAAATAGATCAACCCGATGCAAATCTTTTAGCTGGCCCATAGGGCCTGATGTAAATTTTTTATGCAGTTTGTCAAGCCAGGCCAGGCGTTTCACAAATCTACTCTCCATCAATTAGTTAGTCCATAGGTAATTTTTGCACAACTATATATAATTGAATCTATCATCTTTGTAAAGCGTTTTTTCATTCTTTTAGAATATAAAATTCTCTCTAAACTTCAATACAACTATTAAAGCATAAAAAACTATAAAGAACTGGTGCATACAAAACTATAAATAGGGCAAGAAATTGTGCACAAACTAACCATTGAATTATGATGTCCATAGAGGATGCAGACAGTAGATCCATTCCCATGCCTCATGGCCAAAAGCCTTTTCCTTGTATACAAGGCAAGAGATGCCATATGTCTACAAGGCAACAAATTTTGCAAGCTTTAAAATAAAAAATACAAAGGAAATAATGTTGAGGCAACATAAAGGGAAAAATATTATAACAAACTACAATGAATTAGAAGAGGGGTGTTGAGATCCAACATAACTAGAGATATGTCACCAATGTAGTTCCTTCAAGGCTTTCCCCTCTACTATCATAAATTTAAGATTCCTTTTAAGGATCTCTTTGTTGTTGGTATATGTGGCACTCGAGATGTTAACCAGTAGAATATTCACCTTATAAATTTTAAATAAGTACTATATGCTTAGAATATTATGTCTCCAATAATATGTTGACAATCATGATCAACTGCTATTCCTGAATCTTGAAATGTTTTCTTTTGAATTGTTTCTTGCAGCATTAGAAGTAGCATTTAACAAACTTGTGATTAACTATGGTTCAAACATTGACATCGTAGAATTTACCATTATTGATGCATTAGTGCTTTTGAAAATGCAATTAATTTGGATAGGATAATATTTTAGAGCCTCTTTTTTGGCTCTGTTACATTATGCCTCCACTGTTTCAGCCATATCAAATGCATAGTATAATATTGCTGATGACAGCTGCAAATAGTTCATTTTAAAGAACAACTTCATATTTGAATAAATGGCCATTTTGGTCCTCTAGAGATATGTGTATGCACTGGTTGGTCCTCCATTTGTAAATACATCAAATCCATCATTTCATGTCTATTGAATATACTCAAAACTAGGGAAAGGGTTAATTTCCTTTGTATCTTAAAATACACATAGGATAATATATTTATAATTAAGAGTCATACAAGTAAATATTGTAAATGTATATATTGTGACTAATAATATCTAAAATATTTAGAATATTTAAAATATTTAACACTCCCCCTCAAACTGATGCATATAAATCTTATGTATCAAGTTTGTTACAAATATAATCAATTTTACGTCTCCATAAAGGCTTGGTGAAAATATCTGCTAACAGTTCACTTGAATTAACAAACACAATTTTAATGTCTTCAGATACAATTTTTTCTCGAATAAAATGATAGTCAACTTCAATGTGTTTGGTCCTTTCATGAATAACAGGATTAGAAATAATATGAATAGCGGTATGATTGTCACATATAAGTGTCATTTGAGTGATATCTCCAAATTGTAATTCTTTAAGTAATTCTTTAAGTCAAACAAGTTCACAAGTGGTTGAGGCCATAACGTTATATTCTGTTTTTGCACTAGATCTTGTTACAACCCTTTGCTTCTTGTTTTTCCAAGAGATCAAGTTACGTCCAATACAAACACAGTATCCAGAAGTAGATCTTCTATCTGGATAAGTAATAGTAAGATAGTTTAATTTTCTAACTAATCTTCTCGTATGAGTTTGGTATTGGGATCCATGGGTGTATAAAAAGATTTTGAGTTCATCAACCCAGTTTCTTCTAAAATATCCAATACATACTTTTTTTGAGATATAACAATGTCATTATTGGATTATGCTACCTCAATCCCTAATAAATATTTAAGTTTACCAAGATCTTTGATCTGAAAATGGTGACAAAGTTGTTGTTTCATCTGGGAGATATCATGGTGATCAGGGAGTATCATCAACATATACTATTAAATAAATACACCCAACACCTGAGTGACGGTAAAATACTGAATGATTTGTCTCACTGCGAGTCATACCAAACTGTTGAACAACACTATTAAATTTTCCAAACTAGGCCCTAGGAGACTGTTTTAGGTCATATAAAGATTTGTAAAGACGACATACCAATCCAGAAGACTCCCCTTGACCAACAAAGCCTAAAGGTTGCTCCATATAAATTTCTTCCCACAAATCTCCTTTAAGAAAAGCATTTTCGACATCCAGTTGGTAAAGAGACTATTGTTGAAGAGCAACCATGACTATGAATAAGCGAATAGAAGTCATTTTTGCCAGTGAAGAAAAGGTGTCACCATAGTCCAAACCCAAAATTTGTATGTAACCTTTGGCCACAAGACGAGTTTTGAGACGGTCAATAGTACCATCAGGACCAACTTTGATAGCAAAAACCCACCTGCAACTAACAACGGATTTCCAAAACGGTAATTGGACAAGTTCCCACGTTCCACTATTCTAAAGAATACTTATTTCATCAAGCATGGTCTAATGCCAACCAGGATGGGTTAAGGCATCATCAACGAATTTCAGAATTGACACAGAAGAAATAGACGAAAGACAGGTATAAAAAGGTGGAGATAATCTATGGTAACTCAAAGCAGTTTAATGAGAAGAGGGATTACGAGTACAGCGTATACCTTTACGGATGACAAGTGGAAGGTCAAACTTAGTTGTCGGAGTCGAAGAAAATAAAGGAGTTGGCATTAGATCTGAATCATTTGGTGGTTGTTGGGAACGTTGTCTTCGACTATAAACCTGAAGTAGTGGTGGCAAAGATGGATCTGAAGGTGGACTAACAGGAGAATCACACATAACAAAAATATTGAAAGTAGCAGACAGCGACACACATGGTGAAGAAGGATATTTAAAGTAAAAGGAAGACTAGATGACATTTGTAGAAATAAAATAACGGTTAAGAGAAGGATAAAAACAGTTATATTTTTTTTTGTGATCGAGTAAATCCTATAAAAACACATTTGTGTAATTTAGGAGATAACATATGAAGACCAAGACTAAAGTTATGAACAGAATATGTAGACCCAAAAACTTTAAAAGATAAGGAATGTAGAGGTTCATGAGGAAATAAAAGAGAATGAGAAATTTCATTATTTAGAACCGAAGATGACATGCGATTGATAAGATAACATGCAGAAAGAACAACATCACCCCAAAAATGTTTAGGAACCTCACCATGAATTAAAAGAGTGTGAGTTTTTCAACAAGATGTCTATTTTTGTGCTCAGTCACTTCATTTTGTTGAGGTGTATAAGCATATGAAGTTTGATGAAGAATGTCACGAAAAATCATAAAATGTTTAAAAGAATGAGAAAGGTATTCACGGTCATTATCACTTCGCAACATTCGAATAGAAATCCCAAATTGAGTTTTAATTTCATTAAAAAAAGATTGGAATATAGAAAACAACTCAAAATGATTTTTCATTAAAAAGAACCAAGTACTTCTGGAATAATCATCAATAAAGGTAACAAAATACTAAAAACCTAAATGAGACTTAACATGACAGGGTCCCAAATGTCAGAGTGAACTAATGCAAAAGGGGACGAAAAATGTTGTGAGAGGAGGAAATGAACTACGATTATGTTTCCCTAATTGACATGACTCACATAACAAACTAGATAAATTGGACAAACTGGGAACAAGTTGCTGCAATTTGGCAAGACTGGGGTGACCTAGCTGAGCATGGAGGAGTGATAGAGACTCCATAACTATGCCAATATGTGTAGAAGGGCGAAGATGATAAAGACCATAAGATTCACATCCGGTGTCAATCATTTGTCTCAAACTCTGGTCCTGTAAACAAACAGAATCTTTGATAAAAAAAATAACACAATCAAGAGAACGAGTTAGACCACTAATGGATAATAAGTTAAAAGGAGACTCAGGGACAAAGAACATTATCAATGGATAAAGATGGAAAAAGTTTAATAATACCAACACCATGAGACAAAACCCTAGACCCATCCGCCATTGTAATCGAAGGTAAATTATCCAGAGAGATAAAGAAAAAGAAAAGGATTTATTTCTAGTTACATGATCTGTGGCGTCTTAGTCAAGAACTCAAGGTCCAAGAGAAGGAGATTAAGTTAGGCTAACAAAAGATGTACTTATGTGCGCAACAAAAGTAGTGGAATTAGAGTTTTGACGATCGTCATACAATTTGAAAAATTCATTGAAAATAGCAGATTTGTCTGTGGTAAAAGAGGAAATAGGATCCACAGTAGATGATTGTGAGGGAGGATCAGTTTGGACAATTGCAGTAGATCGAGGAGAACGACTATGTAATGCATAACATCTATCAATCTTGTGGCCTAACTTGTGACAATGATCAGACTTGTGACACTCTTCTCTTGACTTATAATTATCACACTGGGATGCCAAAGTAGAAGAATCATCGGCGGAGGCAGATATATTACTGATGTGTTTACTTGGCACACGCAAAAAGGTAGAACAAGTACAAGTGAAATTGGGCACAATAGGGGAACCCAAAATCTGATCACGGACCTAGGAATATTCGTCAGCAAGCCCATGTAATGCCAACAACATGAAGAACTTTGACTGTTACTCTAGTTCTTGGGCAGAAGTAGAGGCAGGAGGTAATAACTCATTAAAGTCATGAAGAAGACCATGAATTTTACCCAAATATTCAGCCATTGGGCCATGACTTCGTAGAGCAACAACAGTAAGAAGATCGTGACAAACCCCATAAAGACGTTGAGTATCATTATTGTATAATAATTTTTCTTGCTCCCAAACCTCGGAACACATTTCATAGGCACGAAACATTTGCTTTAAAGAGGAGTGAATGGTAGACTTGAGAACGATACATAACTGAGCATCAATTTTCATCCAACAGGAAACTTCACTGGTAGCAATAGTAGTTACATTCTGAGTAAGATGAACAACATACCCCTGACTCTTAAGCCAAAGTTTAATGTATGACGCCTAAGTTGCATAATTACTGTCATCTAACTTATCAATAGACAAGTGCACATTCACATAATTAGTATTTACTGACGTGTCAAACAAATTGGTGGCAAAAGAAGAGGCAACGGAAGAAGCCATTGAGAAAGAGAGAGAAAAACCCTAAAAACTTTAAATAGCACGTGAAGACTCTGATAGCAACGATCTCAATGGTGCGGTGGTCACTTAGTCGAGACAAGAAGAATGGTGTGGTTTGTCGGTCTAAATTGTAATTCCGACGGTGACGATGACGGAGACTTCGGCAACGGTGGTAGGTGCAAGGGCAACCGGCAAAAAAAAAAAAAAGAACCTAACCTCTAGATACCATGTTGAATATAGTGAAAACTAGGTATAAAGTTAATTCCCTTTGTGTCTTAAAATACATATAGGGTATTATATTTATAATTAAGAGTCATACAAGTAAATATGGTAAATACATATATTGTGACTAATAATATCTAAAATATCTAACAATGTCCATTTACAGCATCAAATTGGTTCTTAAAAGTTACATCAAAATGATACCTAAAAGAACATTGTAATGTTGTGTATACCTATGGAGATGAGTAATTCACATTAAATCTGAATATTTTATTGGCATGATATTGTTTTGTGAAAATGACATGTGTAAAAGGTAATGGTATGTTACAAACTATCTATGCATTTTATATTTAAAGAACCAAAGCAAAAATGCAAAAATTTTTGTTAGAAAATTAATAATGAAACAACATTGATGTCCCTATTACCAGCTAACACAATTTGGGGTATACTTTACAGAAGCTATACAACAGCTCTAACTACAATGTGATGCTGCTAGAGAAGCTCTATCACATGCTCAGAATAACTCTGGTTTATTCTATTTTTATAGTGAATTATGTCTATTTCCCTTGATCGGATGTTGAAATTTGAAAACCATAAGCACCCAGTTAAATCAGTCATATCATCAAGACTAATATAACCATGTATCAAGAACTTCAAATGGTAAATGATATTATGATAGTAAATTCTTGTAGAAAACTGGATATTATAAATATTCATACAACTCTGCATACTTTGATATTGCTGATATCGTTAGAGAATTCAGGATTTTGAAGCCATGGCGGAGAGAAACTATGCTCAAGAATGAGACAGTTCCATCCTCAAACAGTTCCTCGATGCCTTCCCTTCTTTTAACGAAATCAATATCAGCAATGGATGCACTAACCGTTCCTGTGATGAGCCCATCCAATAAAACAACCAATTGTAAATCACAATGAAGCAAGTAAATACTAAGCTACAAACCTCCACTAAAATAATTCTTCTTAAGTAAAGCGGCAGCATCTGCAATGTAACAGAATAAAATAGTCAATAACATAAAAAAACTTTACATAATCAATTAACAACCATGATGATATGAACATGACCTATGACAAGGGTTAGAGCAAGGGAAGCAAATGAAGCTCTTCAACAAGTATTGTTGGTTGACCAAATTATATTTTGAATTAATCAATTAATGAGTTTTAGTTTGGTTTTATTGCAAGTTGTAATAAGGACCCAATTGGAAATTTAGTTATCAGTCTTTGGGAGACCAAGATGATGCATAGTTGGTTGACTTTTGGATGCCACAATTTCAGTTACAATCAATCATTAAGTAGTTTTCAATTCCTAGGTTAATAAATCATTATTAGCATTTATTTTCTTTTAATGAATATTTGTAACTTTGATGGCAAAGTTTCTTTATAAGTTGAACCATTTTTTATCAGAAATAACAAGTTGAGTTTTATTTTTAGAAATATTAGAGTTTATCTCTTTTATATTAGTGAGAGTGATTTTCCTAAGTTCTTGAGTGATTCAAGAACCCTTGGCTGTATCAAAGGACTTTCACATCCTTTGTGAGTTGCCTTCTTTGGGAAGAGTGATTCTTTCCTTCCACCTTATCACTAAATTCCTAAATTTCCTACAAGGTTCTAACCTTAAAGATCCTAAATCACCCCTTGTGATTCATATCACATGAGACACAAGTTTCACGCTTAAGGGAGACAAGGCACAATGTATCAACAGAACTCACGCAGGATACCTACCATACAGTGAATTAATCAAACATTTTAATCCTGAGATATAAAATACCAACATAGACAACTGTCTCATACTTAAAGTTAGTGAGATTGATGAATGAATAAATAAAAATATGGTTATAGGCAAGGTTAAGAAAATTATCAAATCATTAAGACTGTATAAAATTAGCAACTATCCATTGTTCACAGTAGCTTACCATTTCGAACAATGAGAGCTCCAAGCCCAGTTGGATATCCAAAAAGCTAACAGAAACACAGAAGGAAAAACTTCAATTTTCAAAGTAGTCCTTCATCTGAACAAAATTAAAATATATACTCTTATACCTTGTAAAATGACATAGCAACAAAATCAGCTGGATACTTAGACAAATCAAGTGGCATGGTAGCACATCCCTTTGCAGCATCAATTAGGACCATCCATTGTCCATTTCTTGCAAATAAAAAATAAAAAATACAGATAAGGAAATATAAAATCACTGTTGCTTCAAAGAATTTCAGCAGACAAATAAAATGTTCCCTCTCTCTACGTATATTGACAAACATTGTACAAACATAAAAAGAGAAAGAGAGAGTGGCTTAAAAAAATACAACGGCCCATTGTCGGTTTCATATGAAAAAAAAAATGTACGCAGATAAGAAAATATGCAAACATCTAGCCTTCCAAGAATTTCCAAAGTTAAATAAAGTCGTCTGTATTATTCTTTACAAAATTGTAAAAAAAATAACATAAAAAGCGAGAGAGAGAGAGAGAGGAAACCCAAGGTCTTCACTCTTGATACCATATTGAATATACAGAGAAAGAAGAATTTGTATTACTGCATTACTGAGTATTGAAAGATTACAAAAAATACGTAGATTTCTGAGTACCAGAAATATGTATAAACATCCTAACAGAAAGCGATAGCCACAAGGTGACAGCTCTTCCGATAGTTATAATGGTAATGATGACGGTTATGACTGCCTAATAGAAAGAATAACAGACAGTTTACAAACAACTAACAAAACAGTAATTAAAGAAATTGATATTTTCCTAAATTCTTCTACAACAAACATCTATGGTTCAAAGAATTTCCAAAAACAAATAAAGCTCTCTCAAAGTGACTTAAATCAACAAAGTAATTTATCTAGATAGTCTTCTATTGTCATTGGGATCTATATCATATTGAAAAGGACAAGACAAAGTGAAAGAAGAAGCATGAAAATACATATATAAAGTACAAATGTTGTTCTACTAATTGTCTTTCTAGAGCTGTACTAATGGTCTTTCTAGAGTGGTGTTTTTAGTAATTCTATTGAGAGATTGTCATGCTTTACATGTTTCTTTTTTTCCCCTTTCATTCTTGATAGTATCTGAGGATTTGTTATCATCTTGCCTTTGCACATCTGCTTTCTCCCTTCATAAAACTTTTGCTTATAAAAAATACAGAAGTACTAAAATTAAAGTTCCTGCTTACAAGATTATTCTTATTGATTTGTCTTTATATTCTAAAAAACAGTAAAAGCTAACCCAGAAATCAGAATTATTATAACAGAAGTGCTCAGGAATGCATCATATGTAAATGTAACTGTAAATATACGCATGCAAACACAAATAACTAAGTTGCACCGCACCTCTATATTTAGGAATTTATCATATACAATAAGTGTAATAACAAAACTTGCATACCTGATTTCGCATTTGAATTGTTACAGTTTATTTAACTATTATCTATCATATATTCTTTTCAATAAAACAGAATATTTTGCCTTTCAAAATGAAAAAATATTTAGAATGGGGACAGACAAACAAATTATTTGATAGGGTATGTTCTATCAAATAGTTAAATATGCATAATTCAAGTCAGTTTTTATGTTATTTGGACAAACGATTCAATGCCACATAGAAGGAGTCAATAAGACATTGAATGATTTATACTAGTACTTGCAAACTGAAGAAATCCCCAAAATCTTGCTTGAGTCTTCCTTGATAATCTTCACCAAGTCTAGACCAAATCTCCACCCAGAGAAATTGCACTCTGAGGGAAAGGCAAACAAATTATACACATCACCTGCATTGAACAAACAGATATAAAATAAGACATGTAAAACCCAGCAACATATCCATGATCTAAAGAGTTACCTTTTGGCTCTCCTTCTAGTGATCCAGCTACATTTCTCCTTTGAACCTGGTGAAGTGACATCTTTGTAGTAAGTGTTTCTCCTGTTCCAGGATGTATATCTTCCTCAATATCTACTGCAATGGCCGATGCACCGTGACCAAGAGCATATCTATACTAGTTAAGGAGGTCACAGAACGGTTCCATCAATCATCTAATGTAGCAGAGCAATCACAATGGAAAAAAACTTTAACATATCTACTCTTATCAAAAGGTGACACTACTAAAGCAGTGTTATTGCAAGAGAATATTATACTCAATACCAGACGCAGAAGAGAAATATTCGCATTCTCTGAAGCCAAACTCGAGAAAGTAAAAGAAAATCACTACAAAATTATGTAAAATATTAAACAGCTCTGGGACAAGAAAGTGAACTAGAATATCAGGATGTCTTCTACCTCCATGCTGTAGAGCATTGTTAACCTTCAGTCTCCAGAAGTGGGCCAAGGGCAATTATTATAAAATTGAATAACTTATCATTTTTTTTACCAGGTAGGATACTCTCTTATTCCAAGAACACTATTATGATTCTCCATTGTATACATAAAACTACTGTTACAATTCCATGGAAAAGCCTCTCCAATCAGCTTCAGCGCTGCTGTTGCCCCAGAGGTAAATATACATTTGTATTCTTTAGGAGATGCATTGCAGTAATCAAGGACCTGCATGATTGATAGTTCAATAATCTGTGCAAATGTAGAAATTTCCAGAACAAGTACAAGAAAAAACACCAATAGCAATTTCCTAGGGAGTAACTCCTAGTTGGACACACCTATTTGGGTGACCTAACATGTTCCATTCTAGTCAACCAAAGCAAGACAAAGTAAACCTCAGGAAAAGTAATAATATTCAGTTTGGCATTGAACTTTAGTACCCCTCCACTATCATCTACCTCGGAAATAGATTAACAAATGCTTGCATAAAATATTAAGTGCAAAGAAGATCGTTAACATGTTTAATAATAACAAATTCACAAGTACCTGCTGGCGGGCATTCTTCACTATGTCAAAAGTTGTAGAACTGGAGTCACTTTGGCTATCTAGTATGAATGTTAAGGAAATTCACTTCATAAAGTGTCAACCACCAATTACTTGAACTCACTCTGTATTCAGTGTTGAGAATATTGAACTGTACAAATTGTGAATCATATTAGGATACGAGGATTTCCATATACGTTATTAGTGAGATCGTTGAAAACTGATTCCATTTGCAGGTCAGAGTATAGAGTTGCCCCAGCATGGTCCAAGTATACAAGATCTGTAAAAGCAGGAAAACAACAAAGAACAGGAATAATTAGTAATCCTCTCGCAATTAATAGCACAGTTCGATTAAAAAGATATTTTATATAACTAATAGGAAGTATGAGTATAACCTTGAAATTGTAATCTTTTGAATTCAGTAGCCCGAATTTGATCAATGGACTTGGGACCGTTGGGATAGCCGTAATGTTCACCAAAATCTCTGAGAAATTCTTCTTTGGTATCATCGCCCATGTGGGAAGCCATGACTCGAACTAGAGTGTTAGAGTTAGACGGAAAAGAAACCGAACAGAGCTCCAGAGTCAAATAACACAGAGTAAGCTAACTATAGTTGATGGAAAGCGATTGCGTAAACGTTTCTTCCATGACTCCACAACACAACAAATGGACAATTTGTTGTGTCTCTTCCTATTTCAAATGTACCCTTTTTGGTGCATCAAATGTCATGTGTCTCTTCCTATTTCACCCACACTTTTTTTTTCACATTTTCATTTATACAAAAGGAAAATAAAATTTAAATAAAGAAAGAAAAAAAGTGGTTTGTTAAAAGAATATATATTTTTAATAATAATATATAAATAAAATTATATAAAAGTTTAAGCTAGTAGTAAGGGTTCACACTTTAAGACTTAGTCCCTGGTCCCACCATGCTTCGCGACTCTGATCCCCGCTCTTCAGAAATCTCGAAAGGACTTACCACACGCTGCCCCAATTCCGTCATCGGCAGGAATCGAGCACACTGCCTCACTTCGATACCAAGAGTTTGGCAGTAGTAAAGGTTCAAATCCATAAATTTATAATTATATTTTGTTATTATTTTCTTGTTTATTTCTCACATTTTGACTTTTCTTCAAATAGACGGACTATCAACTTTCGTAATTTTAACTTTGTTTGAAATAATAAAGTTTTTTAAAATTTAGGAATATGTTTCTTTTTCTTAAATTTAAGATGAATCATACTTAAATATCCGTTATACGTTAGTTTATCTTGTTTCCGTGTTGTTTATTTTTTATTGGTGTCCTTAAATATATTTATATCTTAAAAGATTAAATTATAATAAATATAATATGTTTTATGACTAAAATTAATTATGTTATATTTATAAAAAATAAAATAAAATGTATTTTAAATAAATTTTTATATTTTTTTATATTTATTCGTATGACTTTTTATAAAAAAAACATTTTAATTCATTCTTGATGATCTATTGAGAAAAAAATATTTCTTTTTTATGGTTAATTTGATTTTTTTTACTTTAAACAAAGATAATCAAGATGACTTTTTTTATTCTATTAGCAATATTTCTTCTTCTTAATACATACATCCATAATAATTTTGTACTATATTACTTATTTTTATGCTTATATGTTGTATAATATTTAAAGGATATATTAATAAGATAAGTTATACAAAATATAATATAATAAAAAATATATCATATACGAGATAACGTCCTTCTAGTTTTGTCGCAATATTATCTTATTGAGTTTTACCAATCAGAGTTACATCAGAAATTTATTATATTTAGTTAATAATAACCTTCAATAAATATTTAACATTTTCATATTTAGTTAATTATAACCTTCAATAAATATTTAACATTTTCATGATTGTACAAATTATAATAGAATCTTAATTTTTATTTATATTAAAATGGTTTTATTTTTTTCTATCTTTCATCCAGATCAATTGCATTCAGAGTGATATTCTCAAAGAATTCCATTATTCATTTTCTTATAACATAATTAATGTCATTAAGTCCAAATAAAAATATTTTTTTATATCTTCTTATCATCCTTTAACAATATCACAAATATTCTGAAATTATAAAATTCAAAACATACATCTTATCATCCTAATTTAAGATGTAAACCTAATATTATAATTATGAATACAATGATATAAAATTTGTTTGTGTACTAAGAATTTTATTCAAATTAATTCATATGTAGTTTTATGATAAAACTATATCAAATTATATTATTTTTATCTTAATTAATTACATAAATATAACAAAGTTTTTTATATTCCAACAAATTATATATAACTAATTATAAAAAATATTTTTATGGTCACCTTTAAAAATATATGTAATTTTAATTAATTAAATAGGTTGACTGTTTTCTAGTTAATTAAAATTATATTTATCATTATGAATAATATTTTCATATATATATATATATATATATATATATATATATATATATATATATTACCATCAAACAGAATTGCAAATACAATATTAATAACATCATAGATTAAATATATACTATATGAAAAAAAAAGTTATATTAATAAGTCAAAATAATAAATACATAATATGTGATGCAACATCCAACTTAAAAAAAAAACATTAACTCATTCAAGAAAAATATATAGTTGAGTGATCATATTATATGTTATCACATACTCATAGCAAAAATGTTAAACCAATATCATAACCTAAAATACATTTAAAAAAAAAACACTTCACTAAGAACTATTAGTTAAGTTGTTGAACCATTAGATATTTACATTATAAAAATGTATCTTTAATTTTACATTTATTATGTTACATTTAATTACATTTTAATTGTTGCTCTATATTGGTAAAATTTAACATTTTTGTACCAAATGAAATAAAGCTTGAAAAAAATCATTATTTTGGATAATGATTATGCAAATGAGTCTTGGTAAGTAGGACATAAATACAATATATAGAAATAAATAAAAGTAAAAAGATGTTTCAAATAAATTTAAATAAAAAATTTAGTTAAAGAAAAATACAACTTAGATTATATTAAAAGAATTTATCCTGAACTTTTATTTTATTTCAAGTGAGAATCACCACATATATTATTTGTACGTCAATTTTTTACAAGTTAAAAATAAATTTAATTATTAAGATTAAACGTTATTTAACTTTTTATTATTGAAAAACTATCTCTATCTGGGTAAGGGTATTATACAAAACTAAAGTCTTCAACCTTCGTTTTAAAATATCATATTTGAACGAGAGTTCCTTCAGTGTTTCTACAAAGAGAATAAAAAAATATATATGAAAAATAGAAAAATTTTGTACAAATCTTTAAATATCTTAATTAAGAACATTTTTGAACAAATTTATCCTTTTTATATATAAATTAAATTCAGCTTATATCCAAGACTAGTATGTAGTTTTCGTTACTTAATTTAAATATAATTTATTTATTTTATTTATGTATAAGTAAATTTAGCTTATAAATAAACTCAATTTTTTTCCTTTTATTTTTATCTCTTGGAATTTCTTATTAAAATGTTTGTTACAACTAATATTGCTAATAAATTTCTTATTCAGGTTCTGTCCTTCGATGAAATGACAAAAATTATATGTTTGGATGAAGTATTTTAATATGTTGATGAATTTAAAATTTAAGAATTTTAATTACTTCAATTAAAATATCTTATTTTTGATATTTTGTTTTAACACGTAATCATTCTTGTTCATCCTCAAAATCGTATGTTTCTTGAAGACATTTTTGTTTTTCAAATTGTATTTTTTTTAACAATTAAACATAATATTTTTTTTGTATTCTTTAAGTAGTTGAGATTATTTTAATCATGGAAGAATTTTATTAAATAAAATAAATATTTTGATAAAAAGGAAATGAAGAAAGGGAGGGTGAATGAAAAGCAGGAAAGAGGACAAAATTGACTGAAAAAGAAGGTGGGGAAGGAAGATGAGATTGAGGGGTAGAGAGGATGACTTGTAAGAGAGGAGAAATATAAAGAGAAAGGGGAAAGGAAGAGAGAGAAGTGGAAGTAAGGTGATCGGGGCACAGTGTGAATCTCAAAACAATCTTCAAAATCTGAATTCAATCAGAGGGGAAACTGTGTCCTGTGACGTGTTGTGTTATTCATACATAAAATCTTCAAAAATGTCGATCAATATGAAAACCCTAACCCAGGCATTGGCCAAGACAGCAGCGGTCATAGAGAAGACAGTGCAGACCACCGTGCAGGAAGTCACGGGCCCCAAGGCACTTCAGGACTATGAGCTTCTCGACCAGATCGGTTCTGCAGGTCCCGGGCTCGTTTGGAGGCTCTATTCGGCCCGGGCTCGTGATCCCACGCGCCAGCACCAATATCCCGTTGTGAGTGTCTGGGTGTTGGACAAGCGCACACTTTCCGAGGCCCGAATGCGTGCTGGCCTCACCAAGGCCGCCGAGGATTCCTTTCTCGATTTGATTCGGACAGATGCTGCCAAGCTTGTTCGCCTCAGGCATCCCGGTGTCGTTCACGTGGTCCAGGCCCTGGATGAGAACAAGAATGCAATGGCCATGGTCACCGAACCCTTGTTTGCTTCTGCTGCCAATACTCTGGGTATTTTGGACAATATTCCTACGCTTCCTAAAGATCTCAGGGGAATGGTACCTTATTTTTTTCAATTATTGGTTATATATAGTAAATGATCGTTTAGTTTTATTACCTGATCTACTAGGTCCACTGGATCTACACATTGCTGTCTGTTAGTCCTGTATCTAAATCCACTAGTTATGTTAGTCCGAACCTCTAACTTCTGTGGACTATAACTATATAAACTGTGCATAATAGAGACTCAAATGACAATAGTTTTAATCTTAGGGATTCATTTGACATTTTTTTAAATCCAATGACTACCATGACAATGCCTCACAAATTTAGGGACTAAAAATTGAGGTTTACACTTCTTTCACTAGTTACTGATGAAAGAGTCTTTGCTTTGCAGGAAATGGGACTGTTGGAGGTAAAACATGGTTTACTTCAGATTGCAGAATCCCTGGACTTTCTCCACAACCATGCCCATCTTATTCATCGAGCTGTATCACCTGAGGTTATAGTCTTTTGCATTACATTTGAGTTGCCGTTTTGTTGATTTCTTGATATTGTAGGAAATTATGGACGATGGGTCCTCAATTGTTGTCATTGACATCTAAGCACAAGGTTATTTTTTTGTTTTGAACATTTTGTTATAAAAGAAAAAACTCTGGCAAGTATATATTTCCAGTGTGTGGCATCTAACTAGAAATGGTATATAGCAATTAATTACATTGGAAATTTTGTTGTACCCATCAGCAGCATCTATGTATTTCTAATTTTCTCTTTCATAGTCTTGCTTAAGCTTACAAATATTCTCTTCTCTTTGAATTTTCGCTGAAGTGTCATTTTTCACCTATCGCAATTGATATGGATTACTTAATTGTTCAATAGTTAACCTGCGGTACAAATCTTTTTCTGTTCCATCAATGTGAAATTTAAGATTGGCGAATGAAATACAATTCTTTATATTTTGCAGAACATTCTTATCACCTTGAGTGGAGCCTGGAAACTTGCTGGATTTGGTTTTGCAGTTTCTGCTACTCAGACCA